GCTTTAGACCTCCACTGCCGGGTGCAAAAAAAAAAAGGTTCAATCAATCAATCAATTTCAACTTCTTGCAGGTGAAAAAAAGATCTTGCAAAGTTGGAATTGATTGATTGAACTTTTTAGTCCCACCCAGTCTGCCGTTACCACCGCAGCCATGCCCACCCAATGGGCCATGCTCACTCAATGGCCATACCCACCCAATGGGCCACGCCCACCCAATGAGCCACGCCCACCCAGCACCCGATGATACATAAGTGGGTTTTGGGTTGCAGTTTCAGCACTCGGTCTCTAAAAGGTTCGCCATCACTGATTTAGTCATACACAGTGAGCCATGAAGCAGCTTGTAGGACATATTCTTTGTAGTTTTCTTTTTATTGTGTTCTGTTTTTTCACATAAATCAGCCTTTGAATATCCTTAAAAAGGAGTGTTATATGGACAAATACGTTGGTATTTGCCATTCTGTTGTTGTAGGCTGGGCCGGGCTGGGCAAAGCTAGGCTAGGCTAGGGGAGATGGAAGTCTGTAGGATTTATTCCTAAATAACATTTCACAAAGGTTCCTCTCCAGCAATTGCAGCCTTATCACAAACTGACAAGTAGTGCTCAGAGTCCCCTAGGAATGATTAGGAATTCAAACTGAGACTTCATCACTTTTCAATTTAATTCACTACATGAAATTGGTGCTCCCAGACCTTGGGACCCACAATTAAAACGATTCTTAAAGTGAACCAAAATGATAAGAAAGCCAAATTCTCCAAAAGAGCTAAGTACATTGCAACTGAAATTTCATATTCTCCAGATAGGTATATTTCATCAGCCTCCCTTCACTCTTCACTCGACTCTATTCAGATTAGTTTATTTATTGACTTGTAGATGTTGCTGGGAAGCCTAAGTGTTTTTGGCTCTAAGGGTCATTTCTCTGTCCTTGGGTTGGAGAGAAAAAGGCAGGCAGATCAAAGTTGTATAAATCATTTGTCCCTATTTTCGGGATTCTGCATGGGATGCATGTTTAGTACCTTTCTTTCTAAAATGACTAGAACATTATATTATGATACTTACAACAACTCTGGATATCATCTTTTCTTTATGGGATTGTTGCCAGCAGTACAGTGTTGTAGCTGAGAGATTTCAGAGTGGAGAAAGCATTTTAAATCTCTGCGGCTATCATTTTGATAAGGTGACCTTAGGCCGGTCCCTTTTTCTCAGCCCTAGGAAGGAACAATGGCAAACCACGTCTGAAAAACTTTGCCCAAAAAACTGCAGGGACTTGTCCAGGCAGTCTCAGAAAACTGGACATGATTGAATGGGGGAAAAAAAAATTAAATCCAGAGTATGCTTGAGCCCCAAAAACTAAATAAGTCAAAAGTGAACAACATTTCAGCTTGTGTGTGTATGTGTTCTATTTTGTCATATAATTCATGATAAATATATATTTAAAATATAGAACATAGAATAACAGAGTTGGAGCTCTTTAATTCCAACCCCTTGCTTAAGCAGGCAATTCTATACCCGTAGTGGCGAACCTATGGCACGCATGCCACAGGTGGCACACAGAGTCCTCTCTGTGGGCACGTGCGCCATTGCCCCAGTCCTAGGCCTTCAGTTGGGTTTTATAAAACCTTTTTGCTTTAGGCCTCTGCTGCCATGTGCAAAAAAAAAAAAGAGGTTCAATCAATCAATTTCAACTTCTCATGGGGAAAAAAAAGATCTCACAAAGTTGGAATTGATTGATTGAACTTTTTAGTCCCACCCAGTCTGCCGTTACCACCGCAGCCACGCCCACTCAGCCCCTGACGATACATAAGTGGGTTTTGGGTTGCAGTTTGGGCACCCGGTCTCTAAAAGGTTCGCCATCACCGTTCTATACCATTTCCAGAGTCTCAACATCTTTTTTATGTTGTGGTAACCAAAACTGGATTCGGTATTCCAAGTATGGTCTTACTAAGGCATTATAAAGCAGTGGTATCACTTCTTGTGATCTTGATTCTATTCCTCTGTTGATGCAACCTAGGATTGCTTTGGCTTTTTTGGCAGCTGCAGCACATTGTTGGCTCAAATTTAAGTCATGGTCCACTAGGACTCAAAGATCCCTCTCATGGTTACTGCTGTTGAGCCAATTTTCACCTAGTTTGTACCTGTACATTTGGTTTTTCTTGTCTAAATGTAAAACCTTATTTTTTATACTTTGAATTTCATTTTGTTAGATAGGGCTTAGGTTCAAGTCTGTCAAGATCCATCTGGATTTTCAGCCTATCTTCTGATGTTGTTAGCTGTTCCGGCTAGTTTGGTGTCTTCTGCCAATTTGATGCATTTCAGTGATGGCGAACCTTTTAGAGACTGAGTGCCCAAACTGCAACCCAAAACCCATTTATGCATCGTCGAGTGCCGGATGGGTGTGGCCCATTGGGTGGGCATGGCCCGTTGGGTGGGCATGGCTGCAGTGGTAACGGCAGGCTGGGTGAGACTAAAAAGTTCAATCAATCAATTCCAACTTTGCAAGATCTTTTTCTTTCCCTCAAGAAGTTGAAATTGACTGATTGAACCTTTTTTTTTTTTTTTTTTGCACACGGCAGCGGAGGCCTAAAGCGAAAAGGTTTTATAAAACCCAGCTGAAGGCCTAGGACTGGGGTGACGGTGCGCGTGCCCACAGAGAGGGCTCTGAGTGCCGCCTCTGGCACCTGTGCCATAGGTTCGCCACCACTGATCTAGATCTATTAAGATATTAAAGAGTAGTGGGCTTAAAACAGAACCTTGGGGCACCCCACTGCTTCCTTCCATGTAGATATAGTTTCATTAAGGACTACATGTTGAGTGCGATTTGTTACAAATCTGGTTGTGACGCTGTCTATCACATTTTTTCTAACTTAGTAGGTTGTGGTCTACTTTGTTGAATGCCTTACTGAAACCTTTTGGTTATAACTTTGTTTGTTTCTAGATGCTTGCAAATCCGTTGCTTGATTATCTTTTCCAGGATCTTTCCAAGTACTGTATTGATGTCAGGCTGATTGGTTTGTAGTTTCCTGGATCAGTTTTTCCCCCCTTTTTTTGAAAATGGGGACCATATCAGCTCTTTTCCAGTCCTCTGGTAGTTCCCTGGTACTCCAGGATCTTTGAACGATATGGTACACTGGTTCTCACATAACACCTGCCAGTTCCTTCAGAACTCTGGGATGTAATCCTTCAGGTCCCAGTGATCTGAAATCTAGATCAGAGAGGTGTTCTCTTAACATTTTCTTGCTTATTTTAATTTTAATTTTTAGATTGTCTTTTACTATGCTTTGGTAGGTTGAGCTGTATTTTATTTTTGTGTGAAGAGTGATGCAAAGAATGAGTTGAGCAGTTCTGCTTTTTCTTTATTGCTGGTTAGTCCTTTGCCATCATCTCCTATTAGTGGACTAATTTTTCCTGGACTTTTTTTTTTTATATATATATATAGTAGATCCAGTATAGCTTCTCTCTAGTTCCCTCGTCTACCTTTGGATAACAAAGCTGTCAGCTAGGTTAGTCAGGAACCTGTTCGATCTCCAATTTGATGCAAAGTTCGTCTCCCATAATAACTGATAAACCAATTAATGTACTATTTCATTTGGTTTTTTAAAGTAGAAATCATCCTGTTACTTTGTTCATGAATTGTTGCATAGTACTACATTACTATACATAGAGCATGCACATCCATATTTGTGCATTGCACAGACTGTCCAAAGAGAAAATTTCCATGACATGGAATGATAGGTATATTGCTACCATCAGTATCTGTTTTTGATCCATCATTATTTCCACCATTAATATTCTCCCCTCTTCATCCGCGTAAATTTAGGATTTATCGTTTCTTTACCATATAGAGCTATTCCTCTTTTCTTTTGAAGTACTAATGCAAAGTAGAGTTTACCAATTTTCGGTTGTCCTAACAACTTATAATGTCTCTTAGTGTGTTTCTTGAAGACAAATTATATCCATTTTTAATTTTTGTAATCATGTAAAGATTTTCCTCCTTTTTGAAGGAGAATTTAGTCCATTTATATTCACTGACAAAATCCCACTCTCCTCCATCTCTTTCAGTTATATCTAGGTCTTAATCTTCTAGTCCCGGCGAACCTATGACACATGTGCCAAAGGTGGCACTCAGAGCCCTCTCTGTGGGCACGCGCACCGTCGCCCCAGTCCTAGGCCTTCAGCTGGGTTTTATAAAACCTTTTTGCTTTAGGCCTCCACTGCCGTGTGCAAAAAAAAAGAGGTTCAATCAATCAATCAATTTCAACTCACAGGAAAAAAAAAGATCTCACAAAGTTGGAATTGATTGATTGAACTTTTTAGTCCCACCCAGTCTGCCATTACCACCGAAGCCACGCCCACCAATGGGCCACGCCCACCCGGCACCCGACGATACATAAGTGGGTTTTGGGTTGCAGTTTGGGCACTCGGTCTCTAAAAGGTTCGCCATCACTGTTCTAGTCGATCTTATCTGCCTCTGAGCTCTTGGTCTTGTTCCTTCTTTCCATGAGTCCCACTGACATGACTGATAAGTCCCACTCATTGTAATGTCTTGCCCAGATGAGCTTCCCACTTCACTCATAGCAAGAAATAGAAGTGGCTTTGACGGAGGTGAAACCAACGTCTTAAAAGATTTCTTATATGGGCCATAAATAACAGCAGGGAAAATCTTTCAGGAGCTTTTGTAACTCCCATGTTTCGTTGCAGCGCTTAAAGCAAATTGTCCCCAGCCAGAAAAGAATGAGACAAAGCCCTGGAAAGACAGGAGGCGAGCTATTTTCAGCCATGAGTCTGGAGTGAGACATCCAGGATCCGTTTCAGGCCAGGAGGTGGAGAGGACAGAGAGTGAGATTGACAAGATACATGTGCAAATAACTCGGGCGTTTTACCAAAAGGGGTATCAAACACTTGGCAATGGTCTGCTCAGCAGCTGGACATTTGGAAGAGTATCGGGTGTTGGGCTTTTCTATGCCTGGGAAAAGGATGGGGGGCGGGCGGGAGAGAGCAAATCAAACGTTGGGAGGGACTGAGAAAGTAGATGCAGCAACGGGCATGCGAACTACCGTCTTCTAAGAGCTGGAGATTTATTTTGCAGACAAGGTGTTTGTCACACACACAAAAGGGGTGCTGAGGTGATGGGAGCCAAAGACAAAGAAGAGGTGCTTGTGACTCTCTCTGGAGGAGGGCCCTGGGGCTTCCGCTTACAAGGAGGCTCTGAACAGAACAGACCCCTCCAAGTATCCAAGGTAAGACCTTCCAGCTCTCTGGAGAGGACACAGACATTGGGGAAACGGTTGGGAATCTGTTTGCTCCATTCCAAGCCATTTATTTTCAAGACTCCCAACAGTCTTCCTTGGAGTTTAAATGTCTGCATTTGTTGTATGTGCAAATTATTCTAAATTTCAAATAAATATGCAGCTGTGCTGAAGCCCATATGATCTCTGCAGCCAGGGTTTTTATTCCCATGCTACTAGTTTTGTTAGCTGAGGAAGCACATTTTAAAATTTCATCTTCAGAGACGGAAAGTAATGTGCTAAATAAGAACCCCAAATTTACTATTCCTCCAGCTGATATTTTTAAATTGTATTGTAAAATTTATTTAAAGTTTTTTTTTCCAATTACAGGTTACAACTGTAAAAAAATGATAGATGGTAAGAAATACCTTAAAGTATTTCGCAATCTTTCTTATGCAGAGGGGATTATCTGTTCCAAATAATATCTACTGTAATTAGTATATCTTCCAAATCTATAGTTCAAGATTTAGTGCAATATTTTTATGCCCTTACATTTTTTTCAATTCAAACTCAGCTGTTTAACCTACCAGGTTTTTAAAAATTGTGTCAAAAATACCCAAACATAGTCATTAGGATCTAAAAAGTCTTGAAAATAAAAATGAACTTTAAAGAAGGCACTGGCAATATTGCGTGAATTCCAGAGTCCTTTGCTCTTGGCCAGTGTAATAAAAATGTTGGGAACTCACTGATGAATTCGTGCCATGAAAGTTGTTTAGGAAAGTTATTTCCCCTTGAGAACTTTTAAACTGGATCTGGATCTTCCGTGGAATCAAATTAATCTGTATGCATATGCTATATCCACATCATCTTAAAATTAAACCACTCTGAAACCAATGCAATATGTAAATCTTGTCTTATAAAAGAGAAATTGTTTCTAATAGAACTTAGGGTGACGGTGTAATACTAGTTATATCAGAGCTGCACTGTACTGCCTAATGTTTTCTCTTCTATGAAGTATCAGAAGATTTATCAGAAAATAATAATATCTGTTGCGTGCATGTTTATTGCCATATTGCTTTCTATCAATGAATCTATAGAGGCTGCCAACAGCAGATCTGTAGATCTATTTAAATTAATAATAAACATGCAAACAACCTATAAGTGATTCTAAAATCATTAGCTGTAAGATCCTTAGGAAATACGCATTAAACGTTGTGGTAACACAAACATTTCTCCAATAACTGACCAACGAATACTTCCATTACTATTCTCTAATATCACCTAATTTCAGAACTGAAATGAAGCTGAGAATAAATGAACTGTTCTCGCCATTTTAGTTATGGGGATGTGATGGATCCTTTTCTTCTGAGAATTAGCAGCTCGCTGAAAATTGGCAATCAATTAGAAGGTTCTTTTTTGGCAAAAGGTGAGTGGAGATATCTCAGCCAATTTATAACCACTGCCAATAAGTGAGGCCCTCATCATATCTCCTTAGTTTCAAGTCAAAAAATCCACCACACCCATTTTTCTCTCCCTATGAACAAAATCTGTAAATCAAATGTGAATCATCTCATGAGTCCATCATAGTTTGTATGGCTTAGCTTAATAATCCCATTTTATCCACCTTGCCATGATGATGAGAGACAGTAGAAGGCAGGATGAGTCAGGGGGCTTACAGGCCAAACTATTTATAACTGTTGTCCTACTTTGTTTATGAAATTTAAATTAAAGTTATAATTGTTATTGAATTGTAAACGTCTTCTTACTGCTGCTTCTCCCATCTTATTTTTTTTTTACTGCAGTAAAAAAAAGTTTTTTACTTTACTTGCATTAAGAGCAGAAATAATATCCTTTTTTGTGCAAATATGGATAGGAAATACATATTGTCCTATTTGGGGGTGTTGAAGGAAAAGTCTTCATCATGGTTCAGTCCAAGCCGTGAATAAACAACATGGCGACTGCTTTAGAAAGAAGGTTGCAGTTTTTTGAAGAAGAGAGTCAGACAGAAAGATGGCTCTGGCAGAGAAGAGAGAGCACATGTAGGGAATGGGTTTTTATATCCTCTGGGGCTCTTGAGGTTGTTTCCTGTTCCTGTTTGAGGCTTTGTATTTCCTGTGTCATGTATTCTGACCTGAATGTGCCCCTTTGGCATCTGTGGGTTAATCCTATTATGTCCTGTCTTATACTTTGGGTGGGGTATGTAGATTTTAGGTATCTTTGTCTTCCTAAGGTAGCTGGGGGTCTCCAACCTTCCTGGATTATTTACATCTGCATTTCTACAGAGTTGGTTTCTGCTTGGGGGAGGGAGACTTGGGGCTATTAAAAAAACTGGGCGTGCTTTTCTGCCTCTTTAAGATCCTTTGAGGAAATCTATTTTTCTGCCCTTTTAATATTTCCTTCTCGGGGAGGGGGCTGACTTCCCACAGGGGTCAGGATTGAGGACTGGGAGCTGTGAAGGTGTAGTTCACCTGTAGAAGTTGTGAAGGCAACGTAGTGAAAGTCTACTTGAGGAAGCCATTTGTTGCAACCATCCACCAGTCCAGAACTGGCATCAGAGTAGTCAGGCTCTTTGAGGCAGGTCTGCAGGACCAAGGGAAGACTGTGGTCCAGGCAGAAAAGAGTCCTGTGCAAAAAGATCTGCCAGGCAATTAGGGTTCAGGGGATAAAAGGATTACCGTATTTTCCAGCGTATAAGACGACTGGGCGTATAAGACGACCCCCGACTTTTGAGAAGATTTTCATGGTTTAGAAAGTCGTCTTATACGCTGGAAAATACGGTATTTTCCGGCGTATAATACGACTGGGCGTATAAGACGACCCCCGACTTTTGAGAAGATTTTCATGGTTTAGAAAGTCGTCTTATACGCTGGAAAATACGGTACATTGCACACCCTAACGATGGACTGGCTGCTCTCAAGAAAGCTATACTGGAAGCTGCTGTTATCTTATCTTCTCAGCTGCAAAGGCAATCAAGTTGCCCTTTCGTTCCCTTAATGTTTTTCTCTTGAAACGGAACACTTTAGCACTCACTGGCCACCTGATGTTGCCGCTGTTGCTATCACCTGCTTAGCTGTTTTTTCTTCTCCTCCTCCTTCTTCTCCTTCTCTCCTCCCTCCTCCTCCTCCTTTTTCACTCAAGGGACTGATTCTGGCCTAGATTTAGATACTAGGTTTCCATAGAGCAGGGGTGTCAAACTGCCAGCCCATGGGCCAGATGTGTCATCCGGAAGCTGCACCCACCCCATTGCCGGCAATGGCAAAACCGTCCCTATACGTTGCACGACGTCACATGACGTCGCGAGTTTGACATGTCTTCCATAGAGTATTTCAGCCTCTCTTTCCATCCAAGATATATAAGAGGTCATGGAAAGGAGAATGTTTCACATTACCTGGGCCTTGGGTTTCGCACAGGATGCTGATCCTAACAAGGTTTTGTCCGATTTGCCCATTTTTCTGAGTTTTGCATGACACACGGGATGAATCAAACAGCCAGGTTTTGCACAACAAATGAAACTGAAATATGGTTGGCTAGTTTGTGGCTTAGCGTTACGTGAAAAGAGCCTAGCTTTATTGGTACTCATAATTTACATCTTGGTTTGTTTCGTGTTATTTTGTCACCTCTTCTTTTTTTTTTTCTTTTTTTTTTACCAAAATCTTTCAAAAAGTATAAGCAAAAATGTTTCATGCTAACCAGTGGTGGGATTCAAATATGTGAACAACCGGTTCTCTGTGTGGATGCCGCTTCTGAAAGTTCATTCTGGGCTTGGGCAACAAAAAACAGCAGGCAGAGGCACCCGGGGGCGGGGAAGCACATCATCTGGCCCACCAGATGCGCCACAAAGCTGCCTGGTGCATCATGGCTGTGGACGAGCAAAGATAGACGGTGGGACCAAGTGGGCAGGTAGCTGCCTGGTGCATCCAGCAGGCCAGATTGTGTGCCTCCCCCCCACGCCTCTGCCTCCCCCTGTTGCTTGGAGGGTTGGCACAGCAGTTGCAGTGCTTAGACTCACCTGCACTGCGCAGCCCCAGAGCGTGGTGGCCAAGGGGCCAGTGGGCTGCAACTGCTGCCAGACACTGTTGGCCCCCACGCACTCACTGCTTCCTGTACAATTAAAGCATCGCCCCAAAATAAGCTCTAATGGGTCTTTCGGAGCAAAAATTAATATAAGACCCACTCTTATTTTCAGGGAAATACTGTATCTCAAGCAATGTCATGTAGGAGATAGGAGAGAGTTCGTCAGTTTTGCTCCAGAAGCCAAGAAACAATGTGTTTGGCCATGCTAAAGAGTTTCCAGTGATAAGATCTCTTCCACAGTGGAACATTTGCCTTAAGAGACGGATTTTTCATCACTGAAGATGTATTTAAGCAGATTTTGGATGGCCTGAATTAATTCTGGGCAAGGATTTGGACTGGAGGATTTCAGACGTTTTTTCTAAATTTATATTCTCTGATTCTAAGTCTTTTTTCACAGACATTGCCAGTCAAGCTATCTTTTAATTCTGTACCAGTGCATTTGAGTTATTTTGCCTAAGTAAATAAATTTATTTTGCATTTATTGTATTTTTGAAACTGAAGTCAGACGATAGATTTTAAATACTAATTTCTGTTGATAGTATTTTAATTTGGAATCTTACACTGAGCAGGGCATAGATTTCCTGACCCAAATGACTTTTCCATTGAGAGGGATGGAATGCCATGATATTTGTCGATTATATTATTGTCCATTAAGGGTTATTATACATAATTGTCACTATGTGGATACTTTTCTTTTGCTTAAATTTATTTTCCTCTGCCTTCTCTGCTCACCTGGCCTCATCATGTATATGATGATGATGTTATCTGTTTAGTTGAGTCCGACTCCTGGAGATTCCATGGGCCAGGTATCTCCACATCTTCCGATCTTGCACTATTTCTTTGAGTTTTTCTCTGCTCTGGCTGATGGCAGTTGTTATAGTGTATAGCCACCATGTTCTTTGACATTGTGGTTTCTTTTTGCTCCTAACTCTTCCCAA